TATCATTAGTATTATCAATACTTTCATCATCATCCTTGATTTAAATTTGTTGTGTTGGATGCTACTTTCTGCTATCTGCTGGTCTTTGTGGGGGAAGTCTGGATGGGGGTAGCCATTCAGAAAATATGGAATTTATGGTACAAATGGCTAAGAGGAAAGATGCAAAGAATAAGAAAGCATTAAAGGGAAAAAGATTAAGAAATTAGAAAACAATCATAAAACCGCATAATTAACAAGAGGGGGGGAATGTAAGATATATTGTATATAAAATAGTACAGAATAATACTTATAAGAGGAATATATGTACATAGATAGATATAAGATGTATTGTATAGAAATAAGTACATTGAAAGAGTAATATGTATAGAAGAAAAATAAGTATAAATTACCATATTAGTAGATGGTGTGTGTGTGTGTGTGTGTGTGTATAGATGGATGGATGGATGGATGGATGGATGGATGGATGGATGGATGGATGGATGGATGGATGGATGGATGGATGGATATAGGTGGATGTAAATATATACATAAAGGTATACATGTATGGATAAAAGGAGTATAATGGACGTTTAGTGATGTTTAATAAAAACATTAAAAAAAACAAAATATGAATTCCCATTTCCCATGGCTGGGGTTTTGGAAAAAGATAGCTCAAGTTAATGGTAAAAGTGTGGGTCCTTTTCTAGAGAAAGGATCCAAGTTCAACCCTAGTAATCCACTTCAAAATAGGAGGGAGGTTGTGAATGGCTTCTGTTTGAGAGTTGCTATCAGATAAGAGTAATTAGATATTTCATGATCTGAAAGATTAGATTAGATGATTAAATCCAGATTCTCAAGGAGGTTTTCAATGGTAGGAATTGTAGGACGTCAGGCTGTCATGCCCTCACTTCAACTAGATAGAGAAATTCCTGCAGGAGCCTTTCCGAACCTAGTGCCTTCCAAAACGTGTTGAAATGTCAATGAGATTATAAGGGTTGAAACCCAACCCACGCATGGGCACCAGGCTGGGGTCTGCTGCTGCACAATTTCTATGCATGGTAACACTCTCTTCCCAATTCAGACCACCATGTACAATTTACTGGGCCCTATTCTGTAACGTATGTAAAGCCATTAATTCAACTTTAACCGGGTTTAAACACCTCTCTTGTTGATTTGCCATGGCTAGTCTTCTTTAAATCCAGGGGATCTGCATTTTTCTCAGGAGTAGTAGCCGTAGCATTGCGCCTGGGTTTCGTTTAAAAAGTGCTAAAACTGGCATTTCCACGTCTCCACTTCAGTTTCTGAACTCAAAACTGGCGAGGCAGCCTTCTTAACATTCCCTTAACTGGGAGTCTCACTGACAGCAGCGACTTCTGTGTAGTAGATATATTTAGGATTACGGAGGGCAAGCGCTGGTTTCTTACCAGCGAAAGTACTGAGCTTGGTGTATCTCCTTCTGTGTAGCTTTACTGTAATCGCCCTTTGTCAATACAAAGTCAGCTGGATTGGTTTCCCCCTCCCTCCTAATTTAACGGCAGACCGAGGTGTATCTTTAGGATTGCTTGAAATACAAGCGTTAGGGTGCTCTTGGATTGCCCCTTTGCGCTCAATCTTCAATCTGATGAGAGAAAAGGTGATATAATCCCTTCACCCAACCTCAAAGGGCTGGATCTGGGCTAGTCCTTCTCCAGCTCATTCGTGTCTTCTTACTCCTTCCCTTTCCCCAAGTTGGGGGAGAAATTCTCTTTTGGGTGTACAGTCGGGGGGGCGGGTTGCGGCATTTTCTGCCAACTGTTCTCCACTCTGCTGCTACTACTGAGTAGTTTCTGCCGCGGTCGCGCCGTCCCTTGCTTTAATAAGAGCTTGGAGGGATTTACGCGGCGTGTGTAGCAGCCCTGGGAGGTTAAGGAGAATCGGGCTATGGTTAGTAAACAAATTGTAGAGAAAAGCTCCGGATTCTTATTGATTTACTTATAGGTCATCTACTGGCGGTGCTTAGGGAGAAACTATTTACTTTATACATATACTTTATGATCTTGGGGGAATTAGAGGCAATCCAATAAGAAAAGAGCGAGAATCGTCGAAAGCCCCTATTTAAAAGACTTAAGCAAATTAGAGTCTTATCAGCTTAAAACCCACTACAAGTGTCTGCATCCAAACGCTGAGGGGTCCCGAGGAGAGGCAGGTCGCTGCCAAATCGCAGGGATAAAGCGCCGCCGTTTAATGAGCGGATAATGAGCCGCATGTAAATTAACGAGACCTGCTTTTTCTTTAGCTATACTGCTAAAATTCTACGTGGGTTTTAGCGGGGAAGGCGACAAAAGGGGCGGGCACCGTCCCCTCCATAAAGGGGAGGGGATGGAAACGGGGCTGGGTGGCTTGCATCCCGAAAACCGGGGTCCAATCCTGCGAGTCTCAGCTCTTTTACCCACCCGGCTGAGTCGATCCTCCTGCTACCGCTGCTGAGAGAACTCCATGGATTTAATAACTGGGAATCCAGAGTGAAAAAAATGGGAAATTTTATTTCCTCCGGATTGTTAAGGAAAGAACGCAAAGCACCTTTTAAAGTAACCAACGGTACCAACGGGGGTTGCGAGACAGAGAGAAAAACAGCCTCGGTTTGTGGTATTCACATTGCCCCGCACTCTCCAAGGGGAGAGACTAAAGAATAGATACGGTTTCCCAGCCCGGCTAGAAGCAAAATCTACCCGAGATTCTATTTGTGCCTTTCCCTAAAGGTTGTAATATAACACCACCCTTTAAAAAAAAAAACCGAAAAGAAAGAATGGCCCATTTCACCTGCGGAGAAAGCATTTCTGTTTGTACTTAGTTTTGTTCACTGAGATGGGGGGGGCAGCTCCTGTGTAGGCAGGCTGGCTCCAGTGCCTGTATTTGTGTCAGAGATTTAAGACCCATATTTGTCACAAGTTGCAAGGCTGCATTTGCGGGTTGGGAACATAATTCCAGCAGAGTAAAACGCGTAGTGTTAAAAATCCCGATGACGCCTCAATAAAACCTATTTATTTTTAAGGTCCTATCTCTGCAGGCGAGTCTCCGTGACTATGGACCCTCACCTGGCTTGTTTTAAGGGCCAAGCGAGAACCAAATTAAAAGTTTTCAGCATCTGGTTTATTTCTAGGGATTTTTTTTTTCATTCTTCTTACTACAATTTGGTTTTCGTTATTGTAAAAAGGAAAGATAGCAAAAGGACGTTAGGGACTGTTTATTTTGAAAAAGGGCGAAAATGCAGTGGCATATTAAACTAAGACAAACCATATCTTAGTTTTTGTTTTATTGGGAGGGGACAGGGGCTCAACCGCCAATTACGTCTGTCTGTTCCGGTGTTGGATGGGTACTAGCTTCAAATTTTTGCAGTCTTACCAGCAAAAAGAATGAAATGTGTTTAGGATTACAAACCTAAGTACAAAGATCTTTTAGAATCCGATGGGCAGACGGTTATAAAAGATCAGTGAAAATCATCGGTGGTAGTTTAAAGTCACCGGGGAGGATTTTAAACAATAGTATTGCAACAGTTAATGGGGACATTTATTACACTGTGTGTATTCAGTGTAATAATAATTGACAGCCGCGAACTACACAGAGGTCCTAAGTGGATAGAAGTATCTCTACGCTTTTCCCCACGATCGTCTCTTTCTCGCTTACTTTGGCATGTTCTAAAAAGTAAAAAAAGTGTAGTTTTTCTCTTCTGCGTCACTGAAACCAAAGTCAGAGATCATCGCAAAAGCTCTCCAGGCTGCGTTTCCCCTCCGGGATACCTGCTTTCTTTTAATCTAAGAGGGGGGGGGAATCCTTTGTGTGGTTCTAGGGAGCGATTGTGAAGCTCGTAGCCTTCTACATTGGGGTTATTGAGCGGCTCCAAGACTTCTTGCAGGCATCTTCGAAATAAATGCAGGAGAAAGCTCCCCCCCCCCCCGGATGAAAGCTTAGGTAATAAGAAGATTGCCTCGTCGACGGATTTCCTCCCACCCCCCTAGATTTTCCAATTTTCCCTTTGCTGACTTGCAACGCATAGCTCGAAAACTTGACTGGAGGGAGAAGGGGTTTGCGAGGGGAGGGGGGGAGAGAAAAAGAACAGCGAAGCTTTCCATTGAGCCTTGCCCAGAGTTCCTGATAGGCTGTCCCTTATTATAGGCCTGCGCCGGGGCGTTGCGCTTTCCGATTGGCTGCGCCCCGCGTCCGTCTCGGCCTCCGAGCGAGTCTGGATCGCGGGGGGGAAGGCTGGGAGGAGGGAGAGGGAAAGGGGCCGGCTGATAACCGCTGGCCCGGGAAGGCGGCCTCTGGCTTTAAGACGTTAGGCAAACAGGGAAGCCAGTGAGGAGCCGGGCTCTCCGAGCGCCCGAGAAGGGAAGGGAAGTCGCGGCCACCGCCGGGCCAGAACGCCAGCGGCTCGCTCCGGGATTGCTTGCTTGCTTGTTTTGCAGCCCACCGACGGACCGATTGCTTTGGATCTACCCCGCTCTACCTGCGCCTGATCGTCCCGCGAGCCCGCTCGGGGTGATTATTCATGGTCTGCGCCGCTGCTGTCCGCCTTGGGAGTCTAGGGCTCAGGTTGGCCACGCTCTCCCAGCGGGGGCGCTGGTGCCGCGGGAGCCTTGGCTTTGCAGTGGTCGATGCGGAGGGGGGACTCGGCGGAGGGGGGCGGCCGGGGAGCGCCCTTGCCTTGAGGTCCGGACAGGATTGATTGATTGATTGACTGCCTACCTGCTTGAAGGGGCCGGGAAGGAGCGAAATCTGGCCAGGGGGTTGAAGCAGCCGCTGCTCCTGGGCCACCGACTGCGGCAGCCTCTGCCTCTGGCAGCGGCTCACCCTCCCTCGCCGGGGTTCTTCTCCGCCAGCACGCAGCCCCCGGCCGCCCGGGTTGGCTGGTTAGCTGGCTGGCGACGCTCGATGAACTGCCTGAAAGAACCGCTCAGCCTGGAGCGTTTGGGAGCCGGGAATAAGCTTTGCTCCACCTCCCCTTCCTCTTCCTCTTCCTCCTCCGTCTCCTCGTCTTGCCACCACCACCATCACCACCACCACCATCACCATCAGCAACAGCCGGCTCTGGTTATGGCTTCAGCCCTGACCCCCGGCCAGCCGCGATCGGCCCTGGAGTCAGCCAAACACCGGCTGGAGGTTCACACCATCTCCGACACCTCCAGCCCCGAGGCCGCAGGTAGGCGCTCCTTTTCCCCAACCCAGCCTCTAACCTTCCTCCGGCTTCTCGTTTTAGAGACGCTCTTCCCCTATTATTGTACAGTGGCAACGGACGTGTGCGTGTATAAGAGGGGGGGGGGATAATGGCCAATGGACCTGATCTGTTCTTCCCATAGCTACAAATTAGAAAGGTAGAGAGAACTTCAAAGGAACACCACCAACAAAAACCAATTCTCCACTCCCTTTAAGATGGAGAAGGCGAATCCGATCTCGTCAGGTATTTGCTGTGTTAGACTGGAGAGGGCAAAGAATGGGGACAATTTTTATATTCCATCTTCTGGCCCAACCTTGATATTCGCAAGGGAGAGAAGGTGGCCCCGGCAGCAAACCCAACAGGAGGTCGGCCCCGCTAAGGTAAAAATCAGAGCCATAATTCCCAGGAGTATCACCTGATTTAAGCAGAGTTTATCTCTCTTCTGAAAGAGTCACAATTTGAACTCTTTCCTTACTGGAAACTAAAGGGGGGGGAGGACGGGGGGGGGACTCTTGAAATAACGGCATGTCCAAAAACTTAGGTTAGTGAAATGAATGTGATTGCAAGCGGTTGTAAGCCTCCCTGCAAGTGTCTGAGGCTTTCCAATATAGCTGCAATTGGGAAATTCTGCTACAGAAAATGCTGCTAAAAGACAAACGCCACTCCTGTCTGTGCTTACTCAAGAGTAAGTCCTGTTGAGATCAACTGAATGTATCTGAGAATTAATGTGCATGGAGTTCAACTGCAATTGAATTCAACTGCTCGTGTGTGCAAGAGCTCAGAACTATCTGTCAGAATATGCAATGTACAGTATTTTAGCCCAGGGAGAAGGAAAGAACTGAAGCGGACTTAAAATGGACTTATTTGCAATTAAACACGATCAGCTTTATAGTTCGGGTTCAACCACAAAGTCTTGGGTTAACGCTACATTAATTTTATTTATTTATTTGGGGCTAAATCCACGGGTACAGTTGACCTTCTGCTGAGTCGAATACAGCAGGTTTAGCGTGACCACCTCAAATTATACTGAGGTCAATCCATAACTCAAATTTGCTAATTTAAATAAAGGACACTCTTGAGACCTAATGAGAGCAGGGTATCTATCTTTATATGATTGTAGATATTTGCCGCAGTTCTTATTGTACATAAAACGTGCTGCTGTGTGTAAAACAACTGCTCCTGATAGGATTCTCAGTCCCATTGCGGTTTTTGATATATTTGGCATTTCTTCTTTTCGGCTGTTTGTATCAGTCGAGATCAACTCTCCCATTTGCGACCTACTATTTGACATAATTCCTGGATGTCCCCAAAGTGGGCATGTCTGGAAAAAAATGTAAGAATATGCAAGATAATAAATACTAGGTTTTTTCAAAATCTGTCTGTCCTTTGAAAAAGGACGTTTGTGTTGCATATTTAAGTACCTTAAACCCAGAGCAATGGAGCGTACTGCATGCTGCTTGGGAATTCTGGGAACTGAAGTCCACAAAGTCTTCAAGTTGCCAAGGTTGTGGAGACCCTTGTTCTATATTCTAGAAGATTTGTCAGTTCAGACTTGTACTATCCCACTACAACCAACGGCGGTTATAGATTTAATTGCAACAAAACCATATGCTTTAAGGGAGAAGGGGTGAGCCATCCCTGGAATAATCGCTGCAAACCTGCTTGGACCTGGCCGTTTGAACGCTCAGGGATTAATTTACACAACCCACGTTCCAAGTCTAAGCAGGTAGTTTTGTACCGTGGGAATCCCCCTTTCTTTTCCCTTCCTTTCCCATTTTCAGCCCATGCTTTTGGTACAATCTTTTCCAAAATCTGGGAGAATCCACAGCACAAGGAAGCCACTCTCGCCCGTGGGGCAGTCTTCTTGCGGACGCGCGCCAAGGATGAGGGGGCGCTTTTCCATTCTCAGTTGGGTTGTTTATCCTGGGAAGGAAGCGCCTTCATTTTATAAGCAGATTTCTGCTTCTTCTCACCAAAAACTATCTGATGGCGGATAGGTACACGCCTGGTTTTTCTTTTTAAGTGGTTCTTACTTATTTTAAGTCATACCGCCGTGGCTGTGGCTCCTTCATGCCGACTCCCCTTGATTTCCAGCGGCGCTGGCTGAAATGAAAGGGATTCGCCCTTTCCCACAGTTGGCTCGCGTGGGCTTCCAGCCGCTGGCCTGCGGAGCCGACCGAGGGAAGGGGGCGACTTCTCACTTTGCCGCCGCCGCGCCTCGCCTTTTCCTCTTCCCCGACGGGCCCCTGACCCGAAGCTGCTTTTTTTTTCCTTTGGCAGAGAAAGAGAAAAGCCAGCCGAGCAAGAATGAGGACGCGGGCGCCGAAGATCCGTCCAAGAAGAAGCGGCAGCGACGGCAACGCACTCACTTCACCAGCCAGCAGCTGCAAGAGCTGGAGGCCACCTTCCAACGCAACCGCTACCCGGACATGTCGACGCGGGAGGAGATCGCGGTCTGGACCAACCTCACCGAGGCCAGAGTCAGGGTAAGAGAGCGCCGAGGCGCGGTGGGGACGCTGGGCGGGACTTTGCGGGGAGAGGAGGAGGCGGCGGCCGCTGCTTTCGATTTCGCCTCCAGCGAGGCGGGCTTTTTGGCCCGGCGCAGCTCCTCGGTTCTCTGTCAGGCCCCTGACGGATTGCCTTCCCCTCCGAAGATGATGGATGGCGCCGAACACTGTGCGGCGTGTTCTGAACGGGATGCGAAGGAGCAAAGGGGACCTGCGCCAAGAAAGCGGCTCGGGGCAGGCTCCAACGTGCGCCCAGCCCCAAACTGCGCCAGGCCTCGGCCGCCTTCCCAGGCCCCGCGACGCTCCCTTCTCCGCATTCTTCCCACCCCCCCCCTCCTTTCCCTCCGCTTTCACAACTCTGGTGGCTTATTCCCCGTCCCTCTTCTCGCCTTAGATTTATGGCTCCGTCTAAAAGCCCCTCAAATCCGACAGGATCAGGCAGCTCAGCCGGAGGGGGGGAAGAAAGAAAGGGAGGGGGAAAGCTTCCCCCATGCGCCGGAGAGGAAGGGGGAGGGCCGTTTTTTCTATCGAGGTTGTAGTTCAGAACTACTCGTGGTAGGAAAATCAGATGGAATCCGGTGCGGCTCGACTTCTCCCTGTGCAAACCGAGCTTAGGTTTTCAGGCAGAAATTCGTAGGTGGGGGTCTGTTAATTCGATGGGATTAGTCGTGACTCTCAAACTCTAAAAAGGGTTTGAATAATTACTACTGCTCGGAGTCAGGAAAGTTGGTAAGCGAACCTTTGGATTTGATTCCAAGGTTTACTTGAAGTGGAAGTAAATTCAGTTTACTTCATTTCACCAGTTTCAGTGGAAGCCAGTGAAAAGAAGGGAAGGGGGCAGAGATGTCCGGAGAAGCAGAGGTCAGCTTGTTTCAGTGTTGTCGCTGCTGTTGTTTCATGCACACACACACATATACGCATTCATGGAGGCGCACACACATGGGAGAGGGAGCGGGAACTGTTTGTTTTTTTAAAAAAGGAGTGGTGATAAACCATACAGTTGTTTTCTTGGATGAAAATGAAAGAGACTTTCCAAAACAATTGTTGTGAAAAGGGAGGACTTTTGAATGCAGTCCTACTACTTGCTCCACCTTTAACCGCCTTTCTTCCAAACTTTTGCCACTAAGAAGTAGAGTGTAAAGTAGATACGTTGAGTATCTATTGAGGAGAGTAGATCCGTTGTTTTGTGACGAAGTTATCCATATTTACGAGGGGAAAAAATGTTGCCTTTGCAATGTGAAAAGGAAGGTATGGATGGATTGGTCTCCATTTAATCTAGGAAAGACAAATGAACGCCGAAATCCATTCCTGCCGTCCTTTTGAGGAATCCCTTTTAATTGCCACGCTCAGAGCGAATACACATCCCAAAGTTGTTTTAAATGAAAAATAGGAAGGACTCAAGGTTTCGTACAAATAAACAACAAGCGACTGGGGAGGAAATATGGCACAGTAAGGAGGTAGCTGACCCTTTTGGCTTCCTCAGTCAATTGAACCCAGAATTCCTGTGGTTCAAACCATTTAAACCGAAACCCTTGCAATTAAGATGGTCTCGAATGAAGTCCTTTTCTTGGAAAATTGTCCTTTCGGAAACAACGCGGTACAGGGATCTATCGAAGCTACCTTCCGGGGTCCTTTAACGACCTTTTGCTTCGTTCTAAAGAGTAAAAATGTTACTCTTGAGATTTTGCTGTTGGGATTCTAGGCAAGTTTCTTCCGTGTGTTTGTCTTCTAATGGGCAATGCAATCACACCCTCAGATATTCAACTGTACTATGGGTATTATGATGGCTCCAGTCTGCAGTAAACCACATCTAGACTGATTTTACTCTACAACAACTTGTCGGATTGTCCCAAACGCCTAAAACATAAACAAAAAAACCAACCTCGGCCGATCCCCTGCTCCAAAAGCGCCTGGCTCTACTCTTGGGGCCTTGAAGAGACGCCCTGACCTCCATTGCAGATGGCGGAAACACGATCCGCCCTGCAGGTTGTCTGCAGTGGCCGCCTCTGCAGAGTTTCAGGGGCGCAGAGCGATACAAAGCGCGGCCTAGACTTCGGTTGGCGTGGCACGCGGGGGAGGGGATGGAGCCCGGCGGGTCCCCGGTTAAAGCGAACTTTCGCGTGGGGTCAACCCAAGAGCAGATTGGCCATTTCAATCCACATCGGAAGGTCGCAGGAGGCGGGTGGGCCGAGCAGGCAGCTGGGAATGTGGATTGGAGAAAGAGACGCGCGCCTGTCGCCTTTGTCTTGGCGGCGGAGGCGCCCGTCCTCCTTTCTCGCGTCGAGAAAGAGAGAGCAAAATTTGGCAAAAGCGCAGGGAAGCAGCCGGCCCGGACCTGGCTTAGCTCTACTAATGATTAGCACATGAAAGAAAGACGCTCCTGTCACCAGCCGTTAAGGTAAAAGATTTATTAGAAGGTTTCCTAGCCGATATATATTTAGGTTGACTTCTTATTTTTTTTCCACCGGGCTGCTGGAGAGAAAATCATTCACCGGATTTAAAATTGCTCCTGGATTATTAATATCATCGCGAGGATCGTTCTTCCTCTCCTGGGTAGAAAAATAGGTGTTAAAATCGGATTAACTTCCTTGCCTTAGACTTCTAGAGTCGTTGGAAGAAGGAAGGGGAGTTAGAGGTTTGGAGTGGGGAAAAAGAATGAGCCATATATTCCTTTTGTTCAAGATTACCACTCGGATCAAACTGAATGAACTGCAGAGCAGAGGGAGGGAGAGAGGGGAGAGAGAGAAAGAGACAGACAGAAAGACCAAGCCTTTAATAAATCCACATCATTGGCATGTAAGTGTCTTAGTGTCTTCACTAAGGAAGAACTTTTATAATGTTCATCTGATACCTCTTATTCTAAGATCTTAAAATTGGAGAGAGAGGAGGGGGGGCACAAAAGCGGGGTGAAAATCAACCAGCAGATGCACAGGACGTTTTCTTGGCTAGGTCTCAGATTTGGTTAGGAACGGTCTTCGCCTTCGGACCTCAACATACCTTTTGTCAAAGTCCTCCCCGTCTCAAAGTCAGCTGCGGATAAGCATTTTTGTCCCTTTTAAGGAGAGGGAAATTTGGCCGCTCTCTGGAAAAGCCCATTTGTTAGATTCAGCGCGTATAGGCGAGTTGTTCTGTGCTTATTATCCGAAATGTAAATGCCAGGGTAGACTGGGTTGTTTACGTAGCCACGCAGATGTTAAGAAGGCCGGGGGAACAAAACTGTTCACACTCCGTGTGGACCAGCTTGGGCGAAAGGTGTAGTAGCGTCCTTGGGCGAAACAGGTTTTCCGTGCTGACCTCAGCGAAATCTGAGGAAATGGCGTTCGGGGCGGGAGGGGGAAGGTCTCTCTGCCCACAGAACTTCGCTCTGTTTTACTGGGATTACTTGGGCCTTTAGCTCTGGGAGCCCAGCCCGGACATTTCCGTGCAGGTTACTGAAAGCTTTCTTGGAAGGGAGGCTTGAGGTTGAGCGCCAGATCTGCCGTGTGGTCGTGAGGATGCAAAGATTTTCAGCGGTGCCCCTCTCTCGAAAAAAACCGAAGAGGCCCCTTGCTAGATAAATAACGGTACATTTCACGCGTTTCACGTTCGGACAACCTTTAAGAGTCTTTTTCTTTCTTCCTCCCCTCTCCCCCCTGTAAAGGAGCCTTGAAAGGTTTTATTTATCGCATCAGAAGGCGGATGAGCGGGTGTTTACAGGCTCAGCTTGAAGGACTTGCGTTCTTTTTAAGAGGGCCTTTTTTTTTTTTTTAAAGAAAGATTGTTGGTCGAATAGAAAC